ATCATCATATTAAATACAATATTTCGAATGCTTTGGTGAAATTTAAAAGTGGCAAACATTTTGAAATTAAACTAAATTTTCTAAAGCGGGCTTTTGTAAAATTAACAACTAAATGAATAAAGGAAAAGTTAATTATATGATTCTCAAAGTCAAAGTTAAAATTAAATTACAGAGACTGAAATATATAATTTAAAATTAAAAAATCGAGTTGCAATTCAATAACAAGGATAGAAATACAATGAGTTAGGGTCTAAAATTAAATCAAAACTCAAAGCTATAAAGTTAGATGAATAATTTTCGAATGAGTGGGTGAAAAAAAGACAAATTCATTGTTGGTGATGGTGATGGGACTCCCTCCAGCTGCGCAGCATTTAATGTGGCTCTTTAAAACTTTAATAACACATACATGAATTAAATCTACAAAATGTTGATTACTTTGACAGGTTATCAACCAGCGTCTCATATCACGGAGTTGGTAGAGTGCTTATTTATTGGGCGAATGACAAATGGATGCCTATGAGCATGTTACCAAAAAAGAAACATATTAGCAGAAAAAGTTTCGCAAGTGCGTGGAATACTAATATTGGTCCCTACTACCTAGTCATTTGGGATTGGATGTCATCTTTAAAGGATGTGTAAGGACAAAATTGTCATTTCATTTTGTTTTCTCCCTCCCTAGCTCCCATACTTACCAATTTATCATTGTTGACCATGCTGGTTGGACTGTTGTCACAACTGGACTTACAGCTCCTCCTTCCAAGTTCATAACTCTCTTTGCTTGTCTTTACACGTGGAATTTACAAATCTTCTGAAGTGTTTTTTTTAACAAATTTTTTGGAGAAAAAAAGATATTCTCTTTATTTAAAAATATAAAATATTTTTAACTGAATCTCACCCTCAATAAAATAATTACATATTTTTAAACTAAATTTATCTTTTTATATTTATCCTTATTAAATATTTTATAATAAATATAAAGTCATTCATCAATAAGAACACTTTTAAAAAAAGTTATGATTATACATTAAAAGATTAAAAATATTTTATATTTTTTAACATTTAATTTTTTAAAAAATACTTTATATTTTTAAACGAAAAGAGTATATGAAAAGTTTTATTTCTTCTGATAGTGGTCTGCGACTCGGCACTTAAAATGGAGCAAGAAAAAGTGAGACAGAAAAAATAAAAAAAAAAATAAACATTAATCCCAATGTCAAGAATCATGAGTATTTAAGTATCAGATTTCAAGTTTATGACTGTGAGAATGTAAAAATATTTTTAAAAAAACTATTTTCAATCAAACTCAACAATGCTTGGGTAATATAATCAGATATAATTTCTCTGGTAATAAATTCATCGTTACATTTGCTTTAGAAAAATGCAATTTTGGTAAAGTTAAATACATAAGCCCTTTTCGCTGTTTTTCTCTCCTTACCCCCCCGGCCCAAAAAATAAAAATAAAATTCATGGGACCTTCCTGTTAATATCATAGTTAGCAAGGACCACTTTGTCATTTCGCAATATCCTCCGCCATTACCATGCTCGGCTGCAATCTTTTGTTCCACGATAAAAGAACATGTGGGAGCTTTGTTTCAGATGTGATAGTAACTCCAGTAGCCTGCCACATTAAAGGAGACAGGGTGAAAAAAAATTTAAAAAGAATAACCCAAATTGAACGGCACATGGTGAAAACTGAAAGTGAAAAGTTTTTAAACTCTTGACCGTGGTAGCGTTACACGAAGTAGAAAAACATTATATTATATATATATATATATATATAATATTAAATAGAGATTTATAATTTTGATGCATAAAAAAGGAATTTATAATTTTGTTTAATAAGTATATATTTTTATGTTTTACAAAATAACATGAATACACGGCAAAATGAGAAAATAAATACTCTCTTCGGTATTAATTATAAAACGAAGTTTTAAAACTCACCTGAATGACAAAGTTGTCATACTTTCAATTTATATGCGACAGTTTTTTGACCACAATGAATGGCAAATATTTTTTTTTTTACAAGTTTAAAGTATCGACCGCCACTTTTAACGTTTGGGAAATTAATTAATTTTATCCTCTAATTAGCATAGTACTCTTTTTGTCCCATTTTGTGAGATATTTTTAAAGGTAATTTCATGTCTTAAAATATAAGACTTGCTGAAAATTTTTTTATTAATAATAATTATTTTAATATTATTATTTATTATTTTATTGCCTAAATAAATTTTCCTTCTCTTTTAATAATGAAGAGTATTTTTAAAATTTAGTAAAAAAATAAAATTATAAATTATATTTAATAAAATCTATTGTTATAAGTGTGTGTTTTTAATTAAAATATACGATTGGGTGCAAAACATAAGCAGTTTAGTATTTGTATAAATTTTTTCATTTTATCCATTATATTTATCAACCTGAGTTTTTATGTTTTTTTTTTCAATCTTGAATTTATGATTTTTTTTACTCATCATAAATCGAGATTAAGAGTAAAAAATAAAATAATATATATTTGCATGAAAATAAAAATTTTATTAATTAAAGAATCATAGTTGAAAATTGCTTATATTTTAAATAGGTAAGAATACCTTATAAATTGAAATAGAGAAACTAATATTTCATTAATTATCGTGTTAAAATAAGAAAAAAATATGACAGGCACCAATGAGAAATTAGGGGGAAAAAAAAAAGGAAGGGATGAGCATCTCAATTGGATCCTCTCATATTCTCATCTCTCAACATCTCTCACTGGCGAGAAAATCCTGACCCTTCACTCTATATCTAATATTTTATATCTTATCACATCATCTCATATTAAAATAAAATAATTTAATTTTAAAAATAATTTTTTACACTTTATTTTAGTACTTTATATATATTTTTTATGATGATGGTTCGAGCTGATTTCTTTAGTCATTTTTTATTTTTAAAACTTTTTCAAAAAATTACTCTACATATTTTTATTAAATAGGTCAATTAGAGTTTGAATAAATCATGTCTGTCTTGTTTTATATTTATGTTTAAAAAGGAAGAGATGAACATTGACCTTGGACTTGGGGTGATGGGGGAGGAGGGGATGGGAGCAAGCCAGGCAGATCACGTGCAAGGCAGAGAAGAGGGTTACACTGTAGGCAAATCTAATTTAATCTAAATTAAATAAACAAAAGGAGAACATAATTGAAATCCAGGGTGAGAGGGTAGGTGAGGATAATAACAAACCAAAATTTGGGAGCTAATGAAGAATGATTAGCGGAGGTTTAAGGTAATGATGAGAAGATTATCAATGGATCTGATTAAGAGAAAAGAGTAGTACTTGTAGCAGCAGGATAGGATAGGAGCATGCGAGGGAGTAAATTTAACGGCGATGCATGAAAAGATGAGAACCAAACGGCGCCGCTTCGACGGTCAGATTCTGATAAGCATAGATGGATAGGGAGGGAGGCAGGGGCTTGTGTGCTATCCTATTCACCACTCTAAACACTCAACGTCCTTCTCATTTCCCCCTCCCTTGTCTCCTACGCTGACTCAACTGTATCCTTATTTCTCTCCTCGGGACCACCCTCCATCTTTTCCTTACCAACTACTTCAATCAATAATTATGAGAAAACCAGCAAAAGTAACCATGCGGGTTTTTTTTTACAATAACATTTTTAAATGTGTGTTCATGTTATAGGAAATCTTTTTCCTGAAATTGTTATTTGTAAGAGACATCTCCTCCATGTTATGTTATGTTATATATATATATATAGAGTGAGGTTGGGTAATTATTGTTATTGATATTAAAAATATATGTTAACGATGATCAATGATGTAGTGTGTGAGAAAATAATGGCAAGTGGCCCGAGTGAAAATGCAGCTGAGAAAATCTGATCGGCCTTTTTCATCAATGCAGACTTCGTTGCAATGAGCCAATGACTGTGGGGTAGCTGCACCAGAAGAAATTGGTCGATCAAATTCAATGGGATGAGAATGAGATCATTGCATCAGATAATTACAACTTTGAACTCTCTCAAACTGTTTATTGGTTTGGTTCCCATCCTAATTCAAACAAAAATAAATGTAAAATTAAGAAACACACCCAATAATTGAAGCACTTTAGTCAGGTCACGCACCCTGCCCGCAAAGGGATAAAAAAACGATGTGCCGAAAATTAGGCTGGCTATTTAAATCCTTGAAGGTATTTGTTCAAAGGTCAATAATTTGACTGTAATTAAACCAGATTCAACTCAATACATTGCCGTTAAGCAAGGGAAAAATATAAAAAGGAGGATGATATCAAACATCCTATCAAAACAATTTATTACAGTAAAAGCCCATTAATTTTATATTAAATATTAATTTATAAAAATATGTATATTGTTCTTAAAACTAAACCTTAACTTATATCTTTTATTAAGTTTTTTTTTTAAATTTAATAAGTTAAGATTCAGTTCTTAAAAATAATATATACGTGTAAGATAATATTCAATAAAAAAAGATGAGCTTTATTAAAATAAATTCCCAAAAGTGCCTTAAATGTCATACCCCAGGATAAAATCCAACTCAGACATCCCAAACTATGAACAAGAAATGAAATTAGTGCATCGGCTTAATTGAACTTTAATATAATCCAATTTAAAATATAATTAAATATTAAATGTGAATATTTTTTTAAAAAAATTAAATATTAATTTATCATAGTGTGGGAGATTAATTTATCCCTTCGATTGAAGTTGAGTTTAAAAAATATATTTTCTGACCCACGAGTTCATATCTATTTTTTAAGAAAAATACAAATTAAATCAATTTTTAATCCTTTAATTAAAATTTAAATAAACAACAAAACCAGCTTTTCACGAGCCTCCAACTGTCCCTCGAAAACCGCAAGATGCATAGAGAGGTAGACCCATAGACTCTGTTGAAACCGATGGACCCATACTCACACACTCACACCTTTTCCACTTCCTACAAACGCTTCAAACTAAACTAACTGAAACGCTTTCACCCAAATTACCGAAATGCCTCTCCCTCCCTCCTTTCTCTGAGAGGCTCGCTGGCCAAGACCCCCCTTCTGCCTCCCTTCTGCAACAAAGGAACAAACAAACTCTTCAGTCTTCCCCTCTCTTAAATTCTGGACACGTCCCCCAAACAATGCATTCCCTAAATACCCATTTTTGTTTCTCAAATTTACTGCTTTGCCACTCGTCCCTTCTCTTCATCTCTATGTCTATCTATTCCTGCATTTCATTCTCTAAGCTCCTACTGTCCAATGCCAAACAGGCTACACCACCAAGATCTCTATTTCCGACTAAGGATTTCTCAAGCATTGTCCCGCTTTCTACGCTACCTCACTTCCATTGTTTTCTTCGCCAGTTTCGAAGAATATAGTTGTTTTGATATTTTTTCTATTTTGCAGGTGTGGGTTTTTTCAATTTTTGTCGTTTCGCATTGTTTGTTCTCATCTCCCGTATTTAATATCATTAAAATTTGAACCGCAGATTCTCTCCTTCTCTCCCCCCCCCCGCCGGTTGTCTCTCTTGTTTTTCGCTCTATGCTGGGGTGCAATGGGAACAGTATAGATTGCTCTGGAGGTCAGAAAATATATTATTGGCTTTGTACTGCGCTTTGCTCTGATCAAAGGTATACTGCATTTTCTTATGCTTCCTTCTTTAGTCAGTATCCGATGTCCATGTCTCCCTTGAATGGTATTTGAAGCTCGCAGTGAGAAATGGAACTAAATGGCTGTAAGAAAGAGTGAGAAAAGGAAACGTCTTTTCATTCCCGATATTCTGAGCTACAATGCAATTTTGAATGAAATTCCTCTTCGCGATTTTAAGCTTATCTGGAATATGATTGTTTGATTCCGTGTTTCATTTGATGGTTTTTCGCTTTCGATGTTTTTGACCACGCTCTTTTCTTTTAGGTTTGGATTGCGTTGTTTAAAGCAGGCGTTGATTATATAGTATATACATATTCGAGACGATAATGGATGGAAGGCGGCATTCGGTTGATATTCCTATTTCGAAAACTCTTATAGCGTTGAGGAGGGTCAGGTCATTGAGAGATCCATCTACAAATTCTATGAGCAAACTCTGTTCTTCGATTGATAATCTGCACTGGGAGAACAATTCGGGCCATGGGATTTCTCTGCAGTTCGTGGACGCTCCTCGGGCTTGTGATTCTGATGATAATGGTACATCAAGGTCAAAGAATTTAAGTTGCAGCATTCGCAGAGAGCACGATGCTACTGATTTTGAATTGAACTGTGCTCATTTCAACTCTAAACTGAAGTCTTGTCCTGAAGGGCAGCAGGATGAAGTACTAGCTTACTCTAATTTGAATCACGAAGGCAATTCTGGTGTCAAGTCAACAAGTGATTGCTGCCATAGCAACCATAGACGCAAGGAATTAGATGTAGAATCTATTATGCCTCCTAGTAACGAGGCAACTTCTGGATCATCAAAGTTAGGGATAGTTGATCATTCTAAGTTGACTAAAAAAACTCTATGCAAGAGCCAAGTGAAATCATCTGAAGTTCTGGGCGATATTGGTGGTCTTAGTAGTCCATGCCTTTCAGTCGGTGAAGCTCTCTCAGCTTATAGTTCATCGGCGAATATGAATCAAGATGTTGATGTTGTAGATAATGATCACCATGGATGTGGAATAAGCTGCTGTTGGTCGAAATCACCAAGGCTTAGAGAAGCAAATATATATTCTGATATAGAAGACCGTCCCCTGATATCCTGGCACACGGATGAGACAGCTCTTTATGGAAATAAAAACTTGAGACACATTGGTGGTGAAATTAGTCCAAATTTTGGAACTCCTAGAAGTTTATGTATGAAATTCAGGCCTAAATCTTTTAATGATTTGGTTGGACAAAATGTGGTAGCGAGGTCTCTTTTGGGTGCCATCTCTAAGGGAAGGGTAACCTCATTCTATCTCTTTCATGGTCCTCGTGGTACTGGCAAGACATCTGCATCTAGGATTTTTGCTGCTGCACTGAATTGTCTCTCCTTTGAGGAGGAAAGGCCATGTGGTCTGTGCAGAGAGTGTGTTTTGTTCTTTTCTGGTAGAAGTAAAGATGTTAAAGAAGTTGATTCTGCAAGAATCAATCGCATTGACAAAGTAAAATCCCTTGTTAAGAATGCGAGTATCCGTCCAGTTTCTTCACGTTTTAAGATATTTATAGTTGATGAGTGCCAGTTGATCCTCGGGGAGACATGGGCAAGTCTTTTGAATAGCCTAGAGAGTTTTTCTCAATATGTTGTTTTTATTATGATCACTCCAGACTTAGACAAACTTCCCCGAAGTGCAGTTTCCAGGGCCCAGAAGTATCACTTCCCTAAGATAAAAGATGCTGACATTGCATGCAGATTGGAAAAAATTTGCATGGAAGAAGGTCTTGATTTTGAACAGGACGCTTTGGACTTCATCGCTGCAAAATCCTGTGGTTCACTTAGGGATGCAGAAATCATGCTTGATCAGCTGAGCTTGCTTGGTAAAAAAATCACAATTTCCTTAGCCTATGAGCTTGTAAGTATTCTGCTATTATTCTGACACAAACCACCCAAAAATATATATATATATATATATATATATTCCCTGGTATTCAGGCTTGTTCTTTGTTGTTTGGCAGACTGGGATCATTTCTGATGATGACTTGCTTGAATTACTGGATCTAGCTTTGTCTTCTGACACTTCAAATACAGTTAAAAGAGCGCGAGAGCTAATGAGATCAAGGGTGGATCCTCTGCAACTTACATCACATCTGGCAAATCTCATTATGGACATTCTTGCAGGGAAATGTAATGATGGTGGTTCTGAAGTCCGAATGAAGTTTTCAATTAGACATAAATGTAAGTGCCTCTTACATTAGTATCCAATTAAGTTTTTATCAGTTTAAGTTGGCTGTTTGATGTTTATTGCAGACTACGCTTGCCTAGTTGTCTGACTTTACATTTTTGCCATCATAGCTGAACTGGAACTTCAAAAACTAAATCATGCATTGAGAATACTTTCTGAAACGGAGAAGCAATTACGAATTTCCAAGAATCAAACAACATGGTTCACGGTAGCTCTTCTACAGTTAAGCTCTGTAGAACATTCTTCTGTCGAAGCAAATGCTAAATTGAGAGATGCTTGCAACGGAGGTGTGTTGTGGGCTTGATTTGTTTTGATGGCTGGTTGCGTTTTTATTTTCTTTCTCCTTATCGAGTGTGAGGCGGATGAGTTGTATAGTTAAAATAGTTTTACAAGGTGCAAAATTTCTCTTCTGACCTTGCCTTCAAATGGTCGCAGCTGGTGATTTCTGCAGTACATCATCTACAGGCGAAAGCAGGAAGCATCTAGCCTCTCCTTTGTATGATAACAAATTGTTTAGATTAGGACAACAAGATCACACATTGAGTTCCATATGGCATAAAGCGACGGAGTCATGTCAATCTAACAGACTCAAGACTTTTCTTAGGAAACAGGGGAAGTTGTCTTCACTCTGTGTTAATCACGGTATGTCTTACAGTCTCTTTATCACATCTCGTTTATCATTTTTGATTCGTCCTCAAAATTTACCATATCATAGTAATAGTATAATCTATTCCTCTGTTCTAATGAATGAAAATTACTCAATTTCTAGGTCTAGCAATAGCTGAGTTGGATTTCCAGCATCGCAACTACGTATGTAGGGCTGAGAAGGCATGGAAATTGATAGCCAGTTCCCTGCAGCTCATATTGGGTTGTAACATAGAGCTCAGGATCAATCATGTCCCTTGTACTTCTCATTCTAAATATGCCAAATTGAAGAGGTCATCTTTCAGTTTTTTCAGTTGTTCCCGTAGAATCCATCGTAAAGCACTTTCAGATAATGAACAAGGAAGTGAACCAGGCCATACTGATCACACCTCACAGAAAGCCATGATGAAGGATAGAACTTTGACTTGTACATCTGATTGTGGATCTCAGATGCAGCAACCTGAGACTTATCATGGAATGGAGGTTGTAACAGCATTGAGAGATGGTGAAGGAAATTTGCTGAGCTCAAGGAAGAGTTTGTTGAATAGTTCATGTCAAGAGACTTCAAGGACCTCGAGTTCTGGGGTTGATTCCTCTAAGGAAGAGGGATTTGATTATGCACACCTAGTTTCATCAAACCCAGATTCAGACTATCAATCAAAATGTTTCCCTCGAACTTTCTGGATTCATAAGAAGAAGTCACCTTCTCCGGATCTATCTCCGGTTGTTTTCCAGGGCACTCAACAAGAGAAAGAATTTGTTCTATCTATCCCAAATTACACCTGTTCCGAGACATATAGCTACGCTAGTGAACCCTGTGTTTTCTCCGCTAGCCCTAACAACTGTACCAAACATGCCCAAAGTCAGAAGAGGTAGCCTACTTTTGCCTCTTATCATTATCTTTGCTTTTTTGGTCATTGATTCATTATTATCTACTTTGCTTCTTAATATGAAGATATAACCATGTATTGTAGGTCAGAAACCTCAACTTATAGACGTTATACTTGAGTTGGATATTTTATTCCAATGCATCCCATCAAGTTCTTGCTTATAGCGATCTTCTGAAAATGAATATCCTTGAATCCATGGCTGGAAAGATCTGCTGCCAAGCTCAATCGTAGCTTCCTATCTGATGTAAATAAATGGAGGAAGATTTTTCTTTTCTTTTTTCTTTCTTAACTACTGAGGGTGTGGTGACGATGGAACATAAATTGACTCAATCATCCACGAAATGAATGTTTTGATAGCAACGTTATGTCTTAGGCCATTGAGATGTTAAATTTCGTCTGTTAAATCCATTTTTAAACAATCATTCTTTTCTAAATACTTTACTAATAAACCTAACTTTAACAAAGTTCCTAGCCTTAAGAGTTTTTAAAAAATATATGCATAGACGAAGTGGGGTGTTGTTGCCATGTCAAGAAACTGCAAACTTCAACATGTTACTGATGGTTCAATTTTGATGCCGTTAAATTTAATACAGTTGAAATGAATCTATTGCTTTGTTTCTTCCGGCTAGCTTTTCTTAATTGTAAACTGAACGTCTATAGTCCTTGTTGCAGCCCGAAGTTGGACTCGGATTTGCTTTGTTGGAGAACCCCAAAATCTCCCTTGAGGAAGGTAGGCCTGCTCCAACGTTACACAGCTCCGTGAGAGTGACTCTAGTATAATTAGATGTAGGAGATAAAGAAACTATCTAATATTAGCAGAACACTTACCCCAAATCAGATTTTAAGCTTTGAAGTTTCATCTTCTGTGAAACCCAGTCTACTTTGTCTGTATTGGCAAAACACTTCTTTTAAAGTGATGTAGGTTGAGCTTCTATCCAATAAACCAATGTATGTGATTTGCCACAAGTAAGGTCAATCTGTTCAGGCTTAATTTTAAATTCACTAAACCAATTCGCGCTTAATTACATGATTTACTAAATAATTACTTAATGCAATTCACAGATCAATTACTCTATGAAATTATTCCAATAGAATAAGGATTACGTTGCGGGATTTGCGGTAAACTTTTGATATAATCTTGGTTATGATTAGTGAACTAAAGGAACTTGCTCTGGGCTGAGAACTATAATGGCCTCCTTAACGCACCATACGTGCAACACTGTCATCCAAACCATTTTCTCTGACCACAAGTGATTTGGCCTTGCAGTCATGGCATGTGGGGCTCCAGCAACATAAGGCCCATCCGGCTGGGAGGTTTGTTTCCTGTGCCGCTGCTAAATAGCCACTGCAAGACTTAATGGTGGCCTCAGTGGCAGGTGTTCAGTGGTGAATATTTAATACTTTTGGCACAATTTTTCAAGTGCATGTATTTTACGAGAAGCCCAGATGACATGATTTTTATGGAACTTTGTTCAAGTCAATATGACATGGTGCAGATGCTGATGATTTTAGATTCTGTTGCAATTTTTTAACCCCGGTTGTTCAGAAGACAACGTTAAAAAAAATTCTATATCATTTATGTCTGTATGGAAAGTTTTAAGCAGGTAGTATATGAATTTTTTTATCGTCAAAAAACAAGCGTATAAAAACACGATAATAACCGAGTTATTTCCTGGTTTTGACGTTTGGAACATCAAGTTTTTAGCTTTGACCATATATATTTTTGTGGTCAATCACTCTGTTGATATTACTAGCATCGGAATGTATCTTACCGCAGACTGAACTCTGTTATTCTGTCGCTGAACTGATCATATTAATGCCCAATGGACTTGTAAAGTGCGAGGTTTGCCAATTGCTATTTCCACTTGGCACATGTGATTTTAATGTGTCCATTAATAATGACACCCGTTTATTACCCAAAAAAAAAAAAAATAATGACACCTGTTTATCAGTGGTTTTATTTCACCAGATTTATTCAGCGGTCATTGTAAGCTCTTGCTTAATAATTAGCCTATTAACACTCACCACTTATCTCACATCTAAGTATAATCCTGTCATATTTTTCATTAGCAAATATAATTATAAATTCACCTTTTATTCAATTAACTAACCATGGCTCTTATAAGCTTGTACTCAAAAAGTTGGCTTATTTAATTCATCAAAACACGTACTTACAATTAATATATATTGACAGTTCTAGCTAGCAATATATAAATATATATTGTATAAAATCACTACACATATATATTAAGGCAATACAAACAATTATTGATTATGTGTTTTTGGTTTCCTTTTTCCTTTACACGTACAAAGCATCACTTTTAAACACATTAGCAATGGGAAGTGATATAAACATTTTAGTAATAGAAATTTCTAACTTCTAACATATATTCAAATAGCATTTAAAGTTGTGTAAGTATAACAGTTACACACCTTAAACCACAAAATCACATATAATGACACCTATTTCCATATAATATCACAAATTTACATATGATACCACATATTCAGATAAATATGCATGTGTTATCATCCACCACCTTATAACCTCCTTATAACTTCTATCTAAATCCATGAGCTACCAAGTAACAAGAATGAATTTAGATATCCTGACTTACCCTAAGCTTTCTAATATTTGAGGGATAACTCAACCAAAGGTTACCGCTCCCTAAACGTGGACCATGAACTCTCCCATCCACAAGGTATCATATAATTGCTAATACACAAACTCACTTCAATGAGTATCATCGGATCATATAATTGTCAATACACATACCCACTCTTAGAGTAAGTATCATAGGCTAAGCTGAAATCACATCTTAGAGTTAGTGTCACGTTTAAACAACTCTAGGCGCTACCTAAATATTGTCCATGCTAAGTGAACTTAAATATACTCTCCCAAATCATAGGGTGAACTCTTGCCCCATCTATGTCACACATATACATCACATTTATGATCATGCTAATATCATATTCTTAACATTTTTACCATGTGCAAATCACATATTCCTCTGTAATTCATAATTTTACAATAACAACTAATGATGATCCCACAACAATTCATGATTGCACAATAATTCATAAGTACATAATAATTCATCATATATCACATTCAGTACTCTAGTTCATTGCTCAAATTTGTAATACATAAATTACATACACATACTGACATATATCTTTCGCACATTCTTATGTGTGTGTGTGTGTGTGTGTGTGTATATACATATTTATAGTTCATGTTTACACAATTTTTCTCCAAGAGCATCATTTATTAAAAAATATACAATAAATGCTATAATTAATATATGAGAGAATTTAGGTTTTCGATTACCTTTGTCCTTTGAGTTGATCAAAAGGGCTCTCAAAACACGCTTCTACAAGATCTCTATTCATGCACAACAGTCAAAAAACATTAATCTGCAATTAACATCATAGAATTTATTATTGCCAAGCATAGATATATACCCAACATTACCCATAACCTAACATAACGCTCTAAACTCATTCCATTAATTAGTTTAGAGTTTTCATTAACTTTATTAAATTCATTAGATCCCTAAAATTCTAACTAAACCTACTTCAGGTCTTCATAATCCATTATTTTATTGTAAGAATTCTTTATTAGGTATAGGATTTCGGGTTCAATCTTATATAAAAGAAAAGTTAATAAATTTTATATAAGAAAATGAATTAAAGATCCAACCATTGAAAATATCAATTTGGATGTCATGAACCTTTTGATGAAATTTCATATAGATCCAATGGTGAACAAATACACAAACGAAAAGTTATTGAGACTACTTTGTGATAATGCAAAAACGGCTATTACAAATGATAAAATTTATAACCCTTTAATCAAATAACTAATCAATGTCCAACTGTTGAAAATGATGAAATGGATTTCTCGAACCTGATGACTAAATTTAACCTCAACCCAACGGTAAACAAATTCAAAGGCATCAATTTATTGAGATTACTTTATGAAGATGCGAAGACAGCTGTCATGAATGATGAAGTTAATAATTATCTAATCAAGAAATTAATCAATGATTTAACCATTAAAAAGAACGATTTGGATGTTACAAACCTTATGACTGAATTTAAGCTCGATCTAATGGTGAATGAATTTGTAAAGGCTAATTTATCAAAACTACTTTGTATAGATGCGAAAATAGTTTTCTCTCTGCTTTTCTCTCGAATGGCTATAACTTTATCCTAATATAATATGATCTAGTCTGACTCCTCTTTTCTCTATTTAGTGAAACTCATGATAAGCTTCAGTATTTGGCCTTTCTCCACCACATAAGAAGGGTGCCCAAACTCATTAACCTTAAATTTTCTCAAAATACAATTTAATCATCAATTACACCTTTTAATTTCCTTAAATAAAATTCTCAAATAAAAATACTCCCTCCGTTTCTCACTATAGAAAACTTTCAACTATTTCACGCATATTAAGAAAAATTAATTTTTTTAGTATTATAAAAAATGAGGTGTACTTTCATTTTTACTCTTGATTTTGAGTAATAATACAACTACATTAAATGCCTTCACACTAATCAAGAAGGGTAAAATTAGAAAAGTTTGTTCAATTATTACAAGATATCCTATATTGTGGACCAAAAATTACTTTTAGAAAGTATTTTATAAATAAGATCGGAGGGAGTGGGATGTTACAATACTCTCCTCCTAATAGGAATTTTATCTTCAAAATTCAAATATCCAAGCAATGCACATGTTTGGAATAGGCACGAGTATCACTACTCCATCTTTCCTTACCCCAACCTCAATATCGAAATTTTTCTCCTCTCATAATATGTTGACTTGGAGGATAGTTCTAGTTCTCAAATTGTCTATACTTTACATCTTTAATCCCCTTTTGTTCTATCTGGTGGATCAAATTTCTCCTTAACTCACATCTTCCACCTTTTCAAATTTATACTACATTATAAGGGTTTAAGATTTTTCATACACAATATTCTCTCCATAACCACCTACAGTGGTGCTAAAATTATAAGTTATATTAAAGTCTTGTGAATTACAACCTCATTCCTCATTTAAACCCTTGTAATTTTAACCTACAAGTTGTCCAATGACGCCACTCTCAACTCTGGCAGCACATGCCTACATAAGTCTTATTATGAAATTTACGAGTAATATATTTTCATCTTCCATTAATTAATAGTTCCAATATTTTATAAGTAATCGATTGAGTTCATATTAGCAATATTTATTCTTAATTAACCTTAAGTGATTTTATTTACGACCTCTAGCTCCAATTCAAAAACATTAGAGGCAATCAAAATTTACAATAACATCACTAGTTATATATTCATTTACACATTTAACAAGTAAACTTTTAGGTAATCATACATTTTAATATATTCACAACGTTTCATAAACATAGTGGTTATATATATCTAAAACCATATAATCACAAAAATTATTATTTGCAATTCTAATATTAATTTTATAAAAGATATTTTAAATAAATATAATTTTATTTTTTATTGATTAATAAAGTTATTTTTATATTTTTAAAATTATTTTCGAGTTGGGCCAAAACTTATCCCGAATTTCAGGCAAGCTGATACCTAAACATACACCTTGGGCAGGGACATCAGTTTGGGGTGAAGCTTGACCCATGCGCACTACATGCTATAAAT